TACACATCTGGATGTTAGCCTTGGCTCTAAACTTGCTCTTTTTTTCAGCATCAAAAGCCAGTTTAATTTTTAGACTTGCGAAGTATTCATAGAAACCATATATATGTATTTTTCTCAAACTGCAGAACTTTTCCCTATAATAAGTGCTTTGTAAGTTTGATTTCCCATCTCTCTTCTAGAGAAAGAAGGAAAAGCCCTGCTTTTCCTCCTTTTCTTCTACTCCTATGGCTCCCTGTATCCCAGGGACCAAAGGAGAATGGAATGTAACTGCTTAATTGCAGTAGGAGGCCACCCTTGCACATCAGAGCAGAAATGTGTGCATGTAGGAGCTGCAGACGTGGAAATGAAGAGAGGACAGAGAGATCACAGCTGTCCTTCCACAGTCCCTTAATCTTCCTCACCATGTTGTGAAACCCCTTTGGCCCTTCCTTATTCCTCTCCATAACTCCTCTGCCAATGAGACAAAATTGCATTTTCTCTTCATGGCTGAGAAGCTTTGAGCAGGCTCTCCTGCATTGTGCAGCAGTATATCTTGACTAAATGCGTTATAGCTCACAAAACATCATACGTTTTTGCTCACTGTTGCAGATATCCCAAATAAAGTCCCTGTGTGCCTAGACTCTGCTGGCAGAGCCATTGCAGTCCCCTTAAAACTTGTGTCAGTCATGATACAGTCTAGAGTCTTGTGTGAGCAGTTTGCTTTTTTGGTATTTTTCAGAAATGCCTTTTCCCTAATTCCAGCAATATTTGGGATCAGGTCACCAGTTTTGATGTAGCTAGTAGTGAATGAAAGTCAAGTGAGAACAGTTTCATTTTGTGTGGCTGTCTGTGGTGTGAGCTGACAAGCCTCACTTCATTCCTAGAGGGCAGCCATCCACATCATACAGATGGTTGTTGCAGTTGGCATTGAGTGAAGTGCATAGATTGCTCCTTGCATTTAGCCACCTCACATGCAAAAAAAAAAAAACAACAAACAAAAAACCCCCACTCCTATTTGTGGACAGAATCCATGCTTTCACTGTCTCTTGGCTCTCCATGAAAAGCAAATGGCACTTCAGGCTTTCTCAATGTCAGTCCCTGAGTATCTGAAAAACTGAGCTGCCACACAGGCAGGCAGAGGTGACCTGAGTACCTGTCCTAGGGCAGCTCAGCATGGCATATCTCAACATATCTCCTGCCCATCCGGGACCAGTGTGGAGGCTCTTTCCTTTAGCTGGCCTAGGTGTCCATACTGTGAAGTCTTCAGTTCATTCTCCTCAAAGACAGGGAAAGTAGGGATAGCCAGGCTGCCTCAGCTCTTGCTGCTGTTTTCCTTCCAGCATGGTACACAAACGAATCCTGCATCCATAGCGTGGAAATACATATATGTTTCTGAATCTGCCATCCAAACATTTCTCTCATGTCTCTGGCTGTGCCTTACAGCCTGTGCTTCTCAAAGTGTGTTGCTCTGGGCCCTGTTCTCTTTAAACAGGGTTTTAGTGTTTTGCATTGGAGAGGAGGGACGTGTTACCTGTAGAGCTGGGCTTATGCTGCTCCATCCATTCCTGAATGCATAGTGACAAAATCTGGTTTGTCAGGCTCGTCCTGCCCATCCTGCACCTACCAGAAGTACTGACAAATGGCATTAAAAGGCTGCGGTATGGATTTGTGGTGTCCATGCTCTGACTGTTTACCTGCATTTTTCCTCAGGTTTTCAGAAGGTAGAAAAGTTAGGAGCCAGACCTGCTGTTTCCACCAGGGGGAGATGGATCCAGAGAGTTATTTCTTCTGGGAACACATACAAAAATAACATTATTTATTTTACTCATGAGGTGCTCTCCCAGGATTTGTGTGATTCCTGCTCGTTTGGCCTTTTACACCTATGCATCCTCTTGCTTTTACTTCTGTACACTTCTAAAAGCAAATAAGACCTATCAACTTTAGGTGTTATATTTGTTTTATTTTTCACAAGGCTCACAAGACACTCAAGGGAATTTCTTCCTCATCTGTTTATGTTTTTTTATTATTATTATTATTATTATTATTATTATTATTATTATATAGTTATGCTACAGTAGTTCTAATGAGGATTGTATAAATGTGTAAGAAGATGAAATCATTCCCTATACTGCTACATCAGCAGAGAGGGGCCTCTGAGTCCTCTGTGATGCACCTCTCTTGGTAAGGAGGCATGGCCACATGCAATCCCACCTTGAATCAGGATCTTACTGGAGCCTAGAGGCAGAATTCCTTCCTTCTCCCTCCCTGAAACCCCTGTGTCATTCTCTGTATAAAACATATTGGTGTCACTTTCTATGAACTATATTTAACTAAGCATTAAATTTAGATTTAACTGGATAGTTATTGCCTCCTAAGTAAATACTCTGAGATAAGGAAATATTTAGTGAGCTCTAGCAGTTGGGTGGCAGATGATTCTTGCATTGCATAATAGTTAATCTTCGACAAATATGTTTTCCTTACTCCACGGGCATTTAATTAACACACAATAGCTCTTATTAAATGTAGATGAAACATATTTGGGAGACCCTTGTAAAAAGAATCCATGCAACAGTGGCTTGCAAAAGGGGTGCATTTCTTTCATTGGTAACTTCATATGAGACCAGGTCTTCCAGCTGTACTCAAAGCCTGTCATAGGAAAAGCAGAAGTTTCCCTTGGTGATGCCCCTCATCTGGCACGCCAGCAGCCTGATGTATCTCTGTGCCTTGCACTCTCCATCCTAGAGTGGTGGTTACTACTCAGCAATCAGGTGTCAGCAGCATGGTCTTCTCCAGAGCAATACCCTTGTAGAGTGGCATCTCTCTCTGCAGTAGCTTGGGTACATCTAGTGTGTGGATTAACCTCTTTACCTCCTCATTCCTCTCCCCCTCTGGTGCTATCCCTGCCAAGTCTACTGCAGAGGAAATGTCTGACTTGCCTCACTTCTTAGCTTGAATACAAAGCAGTCACCTCTTCTTGCTGCTGCATGCTTGACACTGGAGGAGCAGTGTCATGACCTTAGTCCCTAATTGGTGGGCCTTTAACACTTGCAGGGATTAAGTACTCAGCGGAGCCTTTCCATACCAAGGCTGCAGGGGCCAGTTTCTAGGAGTTCAGAAGGCAACTGGATGTATTCCTGGAAGAAGAAAATCATTCAAGTACCATTAACTACAGTGCCACTGGCTGGAGACATGCCTTAGCCATAAATCACTAGAAATAAATAAGTGCCCTGGGGAGTACCACTGCATGCTTGCCTTGTGCTTGAGAGCTTCACCAAGCATTGGCTTTAGGCTTCTAGAAGACAGGAGGAAAGGTTAGAGGGTCCTTTGATCTGGTCCCACATGGCCATTTCTGTGACAGTGACATTCCTTATGTCTCTTCAGTTTGAGAGCTCTGTATCCCACAAGGCTGCAGCAGCAGGGGTGAAGCAGGCTATGTACGAGACCTGTTTTTTCCCTTCCTTCACACACATGTACTAGCGCTGTAACCACATAGGACAGCAACTCTAAGCCGAGTAACTCTCACCATGGCTTTTCTTGCACATGATTCTCTGGACCCCTCTTAAATCTCCCCTTCCCTCTTTGTTTCCCCATCCCAGCCCCATCGTGCTTCGGTCGCAGGTTTACATTAGCGAAGCATCCCTAGGAGCAGTTCTGATCCCTCCCGCAGGCAGACATCGGGCTGGTGGAATGGCAGGCAGGCATCAGCAATAAAACATACGGCGTATTCCTTTGCATTAATTTAATTTCCCTTCTCTTTGCGGTGGCGGTGGGCTGTGGGCTGTGGGCTGCGGGAGCGTTCCCGGGTGGGCAGCGCTGCTGCCGGCGGGCGCGGGGCTCAGCTGCGGGCTCTGGCAGCCGGCAGCACAGGCCGAGCATTCACACCGCGGGCAGCTCAATGCCGGCATTGTCTCTGGTCCGTCGCTCCGAGGCTGGGAAAGGAGGTGGGGGGCGGGAAGGGCTGAGTGGAGAGAGGTGGGAGGGAGGAATGTACAACTGGTTATCTGGCGAGAGGAAAGTCTGAGAGGGGAAGAACCAAGGTTTGAGGCTGCAGAGGCAGTTGCCAAGGATGCTGCTCTGTAAATCAGCTAGCGTGCGGCTTCAGGCCGCTGAGCCAAGTTGTTTGCACTTTTGGCCACAGACCTTCTTTCCTCACTATTTCATCTTGAGAATATTGGCCGTACGTTCCTCCGTCCTCTGTGCCCTACTCCGTGTGCCTCCCTCCCGCTCAGCAGCTCCCGGCTGCTCCTGCCTTCTCTCTGCTTCCCGCTCCAGTTCTCTGTTCCCCTTCTCCTCCTTTCTCCAGCCCCCTCTTCCTCTCCCATCCCCTTCCCTCTCTGCCTCTCCCTCCTCCCCTCTCCTTCGGGGCTTCTCCCTTCTGCCTTGCAGCCCTCATGCCTTTTCAATTCCCCTCTCCCCTCCCCGGCCGCCGTTCCGTGTCCCCCTGGGCAGCCCCGGTCTCCGGGCCCCTGGGCGGCTGCGTCCGCGGGAGTGGATGGGGAGCGCGGCCCGCGGCTCCGTCCACGCCCGCTGCCGCCGCTGTAGTGCCGAGCTGCCGTCTCACGAGTAAGGCTCCCTCCTCCCTCTCTCCCTCTCTCCTCCTCCCCCTCCCTCCCTCGCTCCGCCTGGGAAAGTGGGTTAGGAGGGAGCGCGGGGCTGGAGGCTGCACAGCCACAGGACTATCCCCTCCCGCATCCCGGTGGCACAGGATTCCTCTTGTTCCTTTTCCTTGGTGGTTTTTTTTTTTTTTTTTTTTTTTTTTTTTTTTTTTTTTTTTTTTGGTTTGGTTTGG